CCCCAAAACCCCAAAACCCCAAAACCCCAAAACCCCAAAGAGAGCGAGTAGATTGAAAATATTCACTAAATCTAAAGAGGTTTTGCTGAATGCGGTACAATAGTTGGAGGCAACAATACTGCATTGTTTGCTAGTTCACTTAGCTTGATATAGTCAATCCTTGAGTTCTTTGGGTTCCTAATTGGTTTCATACGAGGTGGCTTTTGAGATAAGATCGTTTCATGATTCTATACGATTACACTAGAAAATACCTTTTCTCTACTTCTGGAATTCCTTAAACTTGCTACAGAGTTAAGCTCTGTACTTACTTCTTGCAGTCATCCCTGGTCTAGAACTTTTAGCACGGTTTTCAAACCTTCCAAATGCATGCTTCCTTGCAATGAATTCCTTCTTTTTGTTCAAATCTCTCATTAAACTAAATGATTGCTCTCTATTACAGTCTTTTGTCAGTAAAGATTTATGCTCGACAGACCCTAAAATTTCCTTGAAAGTGGGAACATCTAAATATTTTGTCTTTGAATTCCTATCCTTGCTATAATGTCACATTCTTGGCTCTTCTAAACCATTAATCAAATGGAGCACCTCTTCGTGAATTTGAGAGAATTGACTTTTGTTGAACTCTTCTGTTGTGAGAGATCCCACTCAGTGGTCTCACTTTATTCATCTCTTTAGCTTTATTTTTGGAGAGAGAACAATTGGTTGGTACCCTATTCCTATGTATCGCTGGCATTTCCTTCCCACTCTTTGGTGGCAACAAGGATCCCTTAAGGTCATGCTCTAAAGCTTGTTGATAAAAATTACTCTCTCGGAATACCTCCTTAGGTCAATGTGTAAAGAACTTATTTATACTAAAAGCTCTCTTCCCAGGAGGACCTTTGGTAGTCTTTCTTTTCCTCTTCAGCTTTTTCTAGATTTTACACTTTCTACCTTACTGATTTAGTGGATACCTGTCTGTCGATATTAATATTCCTTGTATCGTAACTATTCTCATATTCGATGTCAATCCTTGGCTTCAGAATATCTTCTACAGGAGAATTAAAATCTGGTTTAGAGTTGTAATAATTTATGAAACTTTTCTTATTAAAGTGTCATCTTCTTGAAAATTACCCTCTGTAGTCCTGAAATACTGGTCTAGTTTAAGGTTTATCCTGGCCATTAAATCTTCCGTGATCTTGTACCTCTGATCTATGGTTTTAGGGTATGAAAGTACCATCCCTGAACTTCGCATTGTATAGCACGAATATATCAGCTTTTTGAAGATTTTTAGCAGAGTTTTTATTAAACAAATAAATGAAACTCTCCCGTTGAACTGTGTCAGTTCATTTTCCAAGGAGTCTATTTTAAGAGGGAAGCTTACTCATAAAGAGTGACCCTTGCTCTTCTTTGGACATTGGTGTAGCTATCATTTATCAGTTCAAGGTACTATAAATTATCTCTTAAAATACATCAAGGATTATCTCGAATAGCTCTTCATCTCTTGGTACCGGAGATTCTTGCCTGGTAGAGACACTTTCAGTAAATGTAGGTTTCATTTTGACCTTCCTAGTAACTTTGATATCTAATATTAAGTTTAGAAACATACTTGATCCAGGAGTTTCTTGCTGTGAAGACGGTTGTTCTTTAGCAGGTAAATAGCTAATCTTACCAAATTTGATACAGTTGAAATTAGATAACCATTCTCCTGTAAAGTTAAATTCTGCTTCTAAAGGATGAGGGTACTGAATCTCAATCTGCTCAAACCCCTTCTCTCCAAACCTAACTTTATCAGCCCCTGGAAGAATGGTCCTATCACAAGTTATCAATGGGATCTGTTCCCATCTATTTTCACCACTGATCATCTGGTTTTAGCTGATCCAACTTTGGGGAATAGTGGTTGGGATAGAAGTCCTTGACTGATCTCTTGCACAACCTTTTTGTCTTCTTCTTACCTACATGAGAAGCTAGGAGATAAAATTCCTTTCTAGACTTGATCTCTCAGGAATCTATCTGAAATCTATGATAATTTATCCTGCTCAAGAAATTAGGTCCTTACTTGTTGCTGATAATTATCCTCTTATTAAACTTCATCGAAAAGCGAGGTGGTTTCTCAGATTTAACACTAAGGCAAAGTTAGACCTACAGCTTGGAAATATGCAAAGTTTGATGAAGAATTTCATTACCTCTGAATATTCTCCTTTAACTCGTCACTATCGTATTTATAAGAGGAGATCTCTCCTGATGGTGGCTCTTTGGACATGGTCTTGAGGTACCCAGACCCTGATTCTTTAAAAAGTGGAGATTTCTCCGCCAAGAAACCTATAATTATTATATATTAGGGTGGTTTTATAAGATCTACCAGAGCTGGTGTGTAGATCCCTAATATTCTCAGAATGATTAGAATAGCTTACTAGGCTTCTTTACAGCGTCTGAGTATAGCCTTGTCCTTCGTGTTTGGATGGTAAGGGGTCCATCATCATTAGACTCAGATATTTGTGTTGCAAACTTCATATTCAAATATTATTTTAAACCCTGATACAAGCATTGGGGTTTTGGGGTTTTGGGGTTTTGGGG